CGCTTGGTCCAATAACACAAAAAGGGCTTCAAATTTGTCGAATTTGTTCGACCAATAACGGTCAAATCTCCAAAACTTGTTGTAAAATTGAAAAATTTTTGTGGCAAACACCTTATCTATTAATCCGTTTCCATGCAAAAACGACGCCAATCCAATCCTATCGTGATATCCAAGGTTGCCCAGCAATAATTCAATGGCGTAAGTCGGCCACGACTCAATCGGATAAAAAGAATCACTGATCTTTACTTTCATCCATCCAATTTTTGTGTCTCTTAATCGGATTTTTGCCACAAGACGATTGCGTTTTATTTCCTTTGGCGAGTTTTGCACTAAATGTAGCATGTTGTCGGGAATCTGGGATCGCCTTTCGAATTGCTGCTTAACCGAATCATAAGATTCATTCAAAATATCGTCACAGTTGTCATCCAATTCATCCTGAATTGTCGGCAAATTCGGCTCAGTTGACACGGCGTTAGTTGACGATTGTGGGTGAGTTGACACGGCCTGAGTCGAGTAACTCAGCAAACAGTCATCACAACCATCGTTCAATGCAGAATTCGACGTTTCTGAGTGAGTCGGTACGGCCTGAGTAGAATAATTCAACAACAAGTTATCACATCCATCGTTTAATTCGCTTTTGGAATCGTCGGAGTCGTCGAACAAGGCGGCGTTAGTTGACGATTGTGGGTGAGTTGACACGGCCTGAGTCGAGTAACTCAGCAAACAGTCATCACAACCATCGTTCAATGCAGAATTCGACGTTTCTGAGTAAGTCGGCACGGCCTGAGTAGAATAATTCAACAACAAGTTATCACATCCATCGTTTAATTCGCTTTTGGAATCGTCGGAGTCGTCGAACAAGGTGTCGATGGTACCGATGAATAATTTTTTTTTTTTATTGAATTTTTCCATTTCGAAAAAGAACTGAACCACAAAACAACTCAAATAGAACTGAAGTGGAGAAAGATCCGAGACGTATTTATCACGCTCAAGAGTAAAAGAAAAGCGAAAAGAAGAGAAAGAAAGAGTCAAAAAGAGAATGGCGAAAATATGCTCAACACATGTGGATGTTGGGTAGTACGAAGAAATTGAAAGATAACACCAATTTGCTTTTCTTCTCATGTATTTAAAAAAAGCATCGCTCGTGTGAAACATAACATCATAAAAGAGATAAATAAATACAAATCAATACAAATATTATTTTTTATTTTTCTTGCTGCGTTGCTTATTGCTTTTTTTTTTCGTCACGGGCTCAGACACACACGACTTTTTCAACCGCTTACGAACACGTGTCTCGGTTTCGTCAATATCATCCTCTCTGTTTCTCTTATTCTTCTTACGAAGAACAAGAGGCGACGATGGAAGATCAACACCGAAAACATATGGGTCGATGATGGCATCATCAACAACACCACTATCCTGAGATAGCGTCGATGGACAGGCTGACACCAATGGCACCAAAACTCGATCACTCTCCTCGTCAAACTCGAACTCAACTTCGTCAAACTCGAACTCAACTTCGTCGTCATAAGCGACCGTTTCGAAGGTGTCGAAATTTCTGACCCAATTGTCATTATCGTAAGTCAACTGACGCAAAAACTCCATAGGAGACAAAAGTCCATTACGCAAATCAGTTGAAACACGAGCTATTTCATCGTCACGAAGCTGAAAAGGAAAAGGATAAAGGAAAAATTGAACGAAAATTCAAAATAAAGAGAGGAAAAAGGAGAAGAAAAAAGAATGAGAGAGAAAAATAAAGAGAAAAAAAAGAGAAACAGAGAAACAGAGAATTACCTTGTATTGCTTACGAGGTGGCTTGCATTTGCCTCCACTTTCGAAATGTTGACGTAATTTCAAAGAGGAATGAAATTCCTGTAAACGCATGTCATGAACGAATGTGAAAAAGTTCCCTTTGTTCACAACGGTGTCATTCATAACTCTATTGTTGGATTCGACTGAACTCGTCGTTCGCATTGTTGTTCCATTTACGGAGATGCATTCAGCACCCTCCTAAAATGATTGAAAGAAAAAAATAGTACCACAAACAATTGACAAGAAGAGACAATGCAATAAAAAATTACCTTAATTATCCATTGGCGATGGTAGTATTCGAAAAACAATTGAAAAGCATTTTTATCAATGGCCATGGCTTCCGTCCTAAGAGAACGAAATGCATCCACAATAAACTCTGCAGGTAGCAGGGGCAAGCATTGCATTCGATGGTAAACTGACCTGAATAAAAAAACAAGCGAAAGAAAATAAAAAACAAAACAAACAAACAAAAAGACAAAAAAACATACCGTGCGCGAGGATTTGAACGAATCAATTCCACCAGGCCAGCCGTTTGCCACGCACGCCGCTTCACTGCCTGTGTATAGTGGAAATAACATGCAAAACGCTTCACAGACGGATCCAAAACTCGGAGAGCATTCCGCATGGCTACCTCATAATCCGATGTGTATGAGGCAACACCTCGCAATTGAAAAATGTTTTCGTCAATGTATCTAAATACATGTTCGTACGTGGCTTGTGTTTTACGGCTCATTAAAACGTAAACAAAAGGAAAAACCTTTGAAAAAATAACACTAAGATTAGAAAGGAAAAAAGAAAAAATATGTTTTTTTTTTGTAATACCTTTTTATGTTTGCGTATGTAGAGGATGAAGAATTGCGAAAATGGTCCAAAAGGAACGATGCGAAAGGTCGCGTCCATCAAAATGTGACGTTCAGGCAGAGGAATGTGACGATGAATTAATTCGATGGTCGTTTTGGACGAAAAGACACAAAACGAATATTCTTTGGCTTTATTTTCGATGGCAACATCGAAAAATAAATGCCGCTCGGTCAATTTTTCCCCATCGATGTCTACCAATTGAAGAGTCTGTCCATAAGACTCGATAACGGCACTTTCTTGAAACGCACTATTTATCTCATCAATTGACTCGGGTGTCTTTGGCAATGCGCCTTTCTTGATTTTCTGAAGGCCGCGTTCAATTTTGTCGAGAGCTAGACTCGCGCTTTGATTCCTTGAAAATCATTGAAATTAGACACACAGTTGCGCATATAAAAAAAAAATATATATACTTACTCGACCATCACTTCAGTGAAAATATCTTTCACTTTCGCCAAACGGCGACCACCGGCAACATTTCTCAAGTCAGCGCACTTTGACTTCATTGCATTTAGCGCGGCCCAATTAATAATGTCCTCCGCGAAATTGTCACTGTGATTATGGTCCTTTGCATCGGTCAAACGAACGCATTCACAGGAGGGCAATAAAAGTAGGCGAGCAGGACAACTTCTGTTCCTGCAACGGAAAGTGCATCCAAAAGCGCCGAAGTCATGTTTGGTGAACAAATAATCTTCACACTTCAAGAAGCGATGCGTCAATTTTTGGCCAACAATGATTTCACACTTAATATTGGCATCGGAGATGCGTCGTCGATCTAAATCACGAAAATCTTTGCCTTTCGGCCAAGAATTCACTTCACTAGAAACACTTGAATGTATTTCCATATTTAAAACAAATACAAAAAGAAACGAAATTTCAAATAAAACGGTCAGAGAAAAATAAAATCAAACAAACAAACAAACGAAATTTCGGATAAAACGGGCGAAAACAACAAAAAAAAACAAGCCAACCAATTGACGCACAAAAAGAAAGTGAAATGTCAACCGGCAATCCAATGCAAGTGACCACACAAACAAAAAAAACATAAACATATATGTTTGTGTGTTGACGCAACGCGTGAGTGTAATGTGTTCTAATTGTGAGCATCTCTCTTATCTCAGCCACTAAGATGCAAAGCAAACGAAGAAGAGGAAGAGAAAGTAGAGAGAAAGAGAGCGAGAGAGACAAGAAATGTTTACGTACATTTGCATAGAACAAATCGACGCACAAAAACAAAGTGCTATGTCGTCCGGCACTGTGTGTTTCGGCACAAGTGACCACACAAACAAAAAAAAAATCAAACATATGTTTGTGTGCTGACACAAGAAGAGATACAGAGAAAGAAGAAAAAAAATGCAGCGAACTACAGTCCGAGAAAATGCGAACTGAAGTCCCGGGCTGCAATTCGATTTTAGTGGAACTGGAGTCCTAATCAAAATCGAACTACAGTCCCGGACACATGTACGTATTTTGTAGGACTGTAGTTCGCAAAACCAATCGGACTCCAGTTCGCCGGACTGGAGTTCGTGATGCCCAAAATTCACTGCGGCGTTGTCAGCAGAATAAGAGTTTATCTTCTTTTTGATTT